CTAAGTTTTGATATATTAACTAAAATTATCAATACAAAAGTACTTATACTCTCTTTTCCCTAGTTTTGCTTTTTTATTATCTCAATTACAAAAAGTACAAAATAAAATAAAGATTTCAGAGAGTTTCTTAGATATTATTGTTCCATTAGGAATTGAGAATATAGTTATAAGATTTGAAACTAATTCTTTTGATAAGATCTGGACAACAATAATACTTTTTCGAAACTACTCTTTAGATCTCGATACTTGATATTTATAAGAAAATTCTTAGCATTTGCAAAATTGAACTAAATTCTGAACAAATTCGATTTGTTTTTGAATAATCTGATTTTCAGTAAAGCCTATAAATAGCTCAAAGAGTATTCAGGCAATAATACTACACTCCTCGAGTTTATACTTAATTATTGGAAAGATAAGAATATCGACAGATTGTATTCTTTATAATTATCAATCGATCTCGATAATATAGACATTTTTGTAAAATTGTTGAATAATTTTATTTAATAACTATTTGTTTTTCTGGATTTTTAAATTATTGATTTCAATCTAGACTTCTTAATATTTTGCAAATCATTTCGTTTTCGCAATTGTTTTAATAATAGAATAATTATAAGCCTTAATATCCCGGACAGATTCTTTACACTTTCAAATAAACTTAAGAATCTCGGGATCTTGATTGATCTCAAATTTTTGCAAATTAGTCAAGGTCTGAGAAACCTGTTCATAATGAGATAATTGTCTAACAACTCGAATTAAATCTTTATGTTATATAGACCTGAGGTAAATAACTTGGCAATCTATATCAATAAATACTGGTATATAATATTTTTTATAAACATTTCTTTGGTGATCTATAATTTATCAACATTTTTTAGGTGTAACCGATTCTATATTGAAAATCAATTAATATCTAATAGGATATTCTATAAAAGAAAAAAAAAGATGTATATTACAACTTTGAATATAAGTAACAGGGAATAAGAAATAAAAAGAAATACAGATAATAGAATGGAATAAATAAGAAAAACCAAAAGGGTTTTATGTAAACATTTATTACCTTGATGGTATAGATAGAAAACCATAACAACAGAATTGATAATTATAACAAGATTATAAACAATTTGCTTATAAAAGGATATATAAGGTCATACTTTTTCGAAGGGGGGGGGGGTAATATAATGGAATAGATGGCTCTCTTTCGCCCACTAGCTTATACTACATATATAGTATAATACAACAGCTCTCTTGGACCTTCCTTTTATAGTTTAAAGCCTTGGTTTTATAGTTCTAGACCTAGGCATCTTACGTCTAGGACTCTTTCACCCTTTTTGGCCTAGCCCTTATGGCTTCCAATACCTGTATATATAGTCCTCCTTTTAGCATCCTACATAGCTCTTCACTCGTAGATTCTAAGTACACAATCGGAGTCCTGTTTATACCATTTTGGTCATATCCTCCTTATACCAAACACCCAAACATAATATTCCGAAGAAAAATTTCTGGTCGCCAGAAGTTGAATTTCGGTCTGAATTCAAAACTCTACGGAGTCATAACATCATATACAACACATACCGCTTTCTACAAGCCAATATAGTGTTTTACACAGCACCGCCCGAGGTCATCGACCTGGAAAACACGAATTACACTAATCCGCAGGCCCCAGAAACACCTTCCAATCTCAAAAACCGTTTTAAAAGAAGATAATGTACCTTTACCAACGAAATACTATCAATCTTCAAATTGGGAAGTAAAGTATATACCAACAATATCAACCTAGCGATAAAGGCCTTTAAGATCAAATTTGCTGAGTACAAATATACTGAAAGAATTCAGCAAAAGATTATGATTGGCCTAGTAAATATAATCAACAGATATATCGATTTCTTTGCTGTGGGGGATAAACGAACTGCAGCCAGGAAACTGAGCATTAGAGTTGTAAAAATCCTTATACTCATTATTAACGATAGACCCAACTTATCATCAAATCCATTATACACATCACCAGCAACAAAAAGCACAGTTTCTTTGAAGACATAAATTATTACCAAAACCTACACAGGGATCCTCAAAACCCCCAAAACAAGTCAAAACAGAGCAGGCCAAAAAGGTTCACTTATATCTCAAAAAGCTTTATCAAAAGCTCTACCCAATAACGCATGTGCCAAACAACGGGTAACACGAACTGTCCAGAGCACAGATCATAGGCTATTAATAACCATTAGTTCTGCAGCCCAGATCAGCCGATCAGCCCCATATATACTAAGAAGTGCCCTCGTTGAGGCAATTACAAACCTAACATTGGCAGATGTCTCTATTATATCTGCCACTAAGACAAGATAGACTATCATACCAAAAAACTCAGTAACCTATAAACTACTCCTCACACAGGAGAATAAAGAAATCATCTTTCGAATTAGCTGAGGTATACAAGTATACCAATCGGTAACATAGTATAATTACACAGTCCCCGGAGTCCCAGTATTGATATGTATACTGGATGGATTCTTAACCAACACTGCAAATTATATAGAAATGGAGATACAGGTATAGACAGGCCAATCCCTAATTAGTTGTAGACCTTCCTGATACAGAGCCAATCTCTACAATAGTATAATTATATGGATAATATCCTTCCTCGAATTAGTCCGCAGTTTTAGGCTCTTTAATGCTAGCAAACTGGTATGGAAGATTAAAACAAAACCTATTATAACCTGATACGATATTAGTTACCAAGGCTAATATGATTTAACAAGATGTACCAGGCTCACCTGCTATGCAAACTGTAGTGTTCGAAAAGATGTATACAAAGGTTTATAAGGATTCAATTGTATAGCAAAAGCATAATATATTAACTGTTTTGGACCTTTTGTAGTAGAACACTAGAACTGTCCAATAACACTTAAAATAATGAATAGTAAAGTTATAGTATCTACCAAACCATAATTCAAAGCTATACAAAAATCGGCTCTGGTAATAGAAATAGTAATGCTTGTTAATCAGAAGTTAAAGGACAACCCTAAAAAAGGGTTTATCCCAGATATAGTTACACCCACACCCACATTTACCCCAAGGTTTAAAAAACACCAGGGAGAACAGATTACTGTTTACAAAATAAACAGAGACAGTTTAACAATAATACAAATTAAGAGAGGTATGGTAGCAATAAGTCGATTAAGATATAAACCTTCAATAAATACGAACCTTAACAAGGAGATCCTAGTTAATGGTTAATAGGATATCGAAATGGGAGAGAACCCCTAACCCAATGTATATAAGTAGACATCTAGTATATCAAGATGATATATATAGTCATTAACAGCCCAGAATACAGGATTTAATGGTTTGCTGGGTGAATATGGGTAGAATACCAGAGGTTTACAATACTCTACTACAAATGGTATTTGAAGACAAATCAGATGTCTTGTGCATACAGGAACCCTCCACATTCCTACTTATAAAAACCAAAACATACCCCGGATAGATCTTATATACACCAGTAGACTTATAGACAGGAATATCCCCTGAACAAAGAGAAGCAGAATAACTCTGAATACTGATATATATCAGAAAAGGAGCGAAACTGCGAATATAACAGAGACAGCCAATCAAAAGTTATAATATATTCTGGATAGATGTAAACAGGCACTCTATACTGAATGTGTACTGATAACTACAAATAGAACAGGTGCTATCGTATGTTACAGAATTACAATCTCTTTTAGGATACCTCATCAAAAGTGATTTCAATGTTATATATAAGATATAGCAACCTGGAGTAGAAAATCTGCACAGAGGAAACAAAATAGTATCTTGGGTGGATACAACCGAACTGGATTATATTGGAGAACGAGGAACATTTATCTATTCGGGAGGTAATATCCTTGACTTCATCTTCTTTAATATATTATTTGCAAAAACCAGAATTCAGTATAATCTATATAATAGCTCAGATTATTTTATATTAGTAATAATTATACCAGGCAGAGAAATCAAATCTTTCGAATAATACAACATTTATGTCCCAAAAACGGAATTACCGAAATTGGCAGGATTGGTGGCTAATGGAGTGGTATACCTGCTCTCAAATAATTCCTTTGATACTCCACAAAGGATAGACAACTTTGCTAAACAATTCACCCAAATAATTAAGTAAATAATCGAAGTGGCAGAAACTAAGGATAAAGGAAAAGGCAAAGCAGCACTCTGATGGACTCCAGAATACAGGAGAGCTTATATCGAACATTTGCACAGATAAGCTATACCAGAGAACCTGCTAACTATAATAACAAAAGAGTTCAAAACTACAGTTAGAATAGTTAAACATAATTACTGAAGGTATGTCATAGACAATATCTTTAACAACAAGGATTTATACAAGATAGTAGGCTGGTACAAACTAGCCCCAAATCTCAAGAGCCTTCTAATCATCTTTAATGGAGTGGTAATAAAGAACTCGATAGAAAAAGCTGAAATACTCAGGACAGAGGTCTTGGACCGATTCAATACGGAGAACAATCTGGAATACAATCTATTAGAAGATTAATAGGAAAGAAACAAATCATTACCCTAGAACTTTTATATTATAATAGAAGAAGTCGAAGTAAGTGTTATTGGGGTATCCAGTATGTTACTAGGAATTGACTAAGTTATAATTAAATTTCTCAAAATCTGCTAGGAATATCTCAAGGATCTATTGAGATAACTCTTTCAAAAATGCCTTGAATATAATCATTTCCTGAAAACCTGAAAATTAACTGAAGTGGCTATGCTATCCAAAACCAGCAAAAGAGATATAACATCCGTAAGGTTATAGAGACCTATAACTCTACTCTCCTATATAGAAAAAGGTCTGGAAAGAATAATTGCCAAATGTATAGGCTGGATAGCTCTGAAACACAGCATCATTAGTTTATAATACAGAGAAGCTTTATCCAAATGTTTAGTAATAGATCTAATAGCTTTCTTTATATATAATATGAAAACTGTATTAGTAACGGGGAAGGAAATGATTATAATTATTATAGATATGCAAAAGATCTTCGATATATTACTCAAAAGACGATTTCTAATCAGGATAATGGAACAAAGATAATCTAAGAACCTTTTTTTCTAATCAACTTTTTTCTAACGAAAAGGAAAGTCAGAGTAAGATTTGAACAAACTATAACCAAAGAATATTTAATAATTTATGGAATCTCATAAGGCTCTTTATTTTCACCAATCCTTTATATACTATATCTAACAGAACTAATCTCCTAAGATACCGCCCTCAGATTCGGATATATAAACGATATATATCTATATAAAGTATCCAAAATATTGGCAGAAAATACTAGATTTTTCTCTAAAGATATATAAGACACTATAGAATAGAGATTGAACAATTGTATTACCTTCGCCTCTAAGAAACTGGAAATGATTTATATCTCTATAAAAAATGGTAACACAGCATTTATTATCAGAGTAAATAAAGAACTTATAATTCATTTGATAGTGATTACAGAAACAAACATTTGTTCAGCATTTAAATGGTTGGGAGTGTAGTTCGACTGAAAGATAAATTTCCAGAGGTATATTATAAAACACATAAAAAAAGCTAGGGTAATTGTAAGATATATCCAAGGCCTAACTAAGATAGTGCAAGGCCCCCTGGTATACTTGATATACAAGGTAGTAATAATCTATGTATTACCCTCACTCTTATACGGAATAGAGGTCTGGTACAGAGGAAAGTACAAGGTTATACAAAGACTCAAATCCGGATAAACACTGTCCAATGTCCACCTAAACTGGTATGTAATATAAATCGAGAAAGTTCTTATAATAACAATAAAAGGAGTTATTCTAGTATAGAAAATTACACCGGTAATAGCTTTCTACTGTAAAGCAGAACTCCTCTTAGTTATAGTAGTTTTCGAGGAAGCTAAACTGAGGTTTGTTTTATGCCTACAAAGTATAGACAAGTTTTATCTGTTTATGAAAAGAATTGAATTACCTATAATCATTAAAGATCGAGGTATAAATTCAAGACAAAGAGTGAAAACCAAGATCCAAAGACTTGGTTTCTTTGTTTTTCCAATCCCAAGATCTATACTCGAGCTACCAAGATATATATCTAGTTACAGAATAGATTTTATAGAAGGGATTAATAAGAAAACAGTAACAAAAGCCTTTGGAATCTGGTGGGAGAATCTATTAGTTACAGATATTATTATCTTCTCAGATGGATTGGAAAACTATGTATAAGGAAAGTATATAGTAGACTATAGGTATATTATATATCTAGGTAAGAACCAGATATTGGCAAATTCAGGCTTTATTAATATCTAATTCTATATCTTCAATGTAAAGGCTATTGGAATATGGAAAAGCCTGGAATGTACTCTTAAAAACGTTAGGTATACAAACCAAAAGATTTGGATGTGTATTGATAATATCTCAATTATCTGGTGTATACAGGCCAACGCTTCTATATTATTACAATAGGCTTTTAACAATTGTTATAAGGTTATAAAGGAATATAATATTTATATCAAGTAATCATTGGGATATAAGAATATTGAAAAAACAAGGCGGTGGATCACCTTGTAGACCTTAGAGCTAAGAAAGCCTGATAGGACACTGGACTGGTCTTGCAACCTATCTATAATGAGATTCGATCGATAGTATACAACCTCAGAGAAGATACCTACTAACAATAATAGAATTCCTGTAAACCTATTCTCTCATTGTGGTACAAACAATGAGATCTGATATATAAGGTCAAATCATTGCCCGAACTTCTACTCCCGCGAGTAATTCTATAAAGGCTGATAGTTATCAGAACCTTCTATAAAGACTTCGGATAGTATCACAAGAAATTCAAATATACAGGAGATATAGAATACTTCTGTAGAAGATCTAAAACCCTAGTACACTTGGTTTACTGTTGCAAGACAAGAGGCATTTTCGAATAATGGTTGAATAAGCCTTTTATATCATTAGTAATAAATGTGGAAGGTATTCGTTACTTATACAAAGTCCTGAACAACCCTAAGGAATTTGCTAAGTTTCTAAAGTTAACAAAGTTTTACAAAAACATATGTCTAAGGTAGAGGACTACAAAATCTGTAATCTATAATCAAAACCTCAAAACCTGTGACAACTCATATTTACTACCAGGATCTATTTGCAATATACAATATAAACGAAACCATCAATTCTCTTTGTAGAATGTATACAAAGAAACAATATTATTAATAGGTATAAAAAACCTGATTAAATATCAACAAGATATGTAAAAGCATATCTGAGAATACTCCCCGGAGTACAATAAACATTCTAATCACTACACCAGAAGTAATCTACTGAATCACCAGAACTTATACAACAGTAAGCCTACAAAACAGATACAACCGCCTACACTAGACAAAACAATAGAACCACCTCAACCAATAGAGAAGAGAATACACAAATTGGAAGGTAACACATGATTACCAGGAATAGCTGTAAAGCTTTCACTTTTCTTTCTAAGGCACTCTTATTTCATGTATTATAAGACTATAGCTTAGAACATTTGCATACCCTTAGGGAGGTTCCGAGGGCAGCCATAAGCTGCTCTCCTGATGTAAAATAATATTACTACTACTACTACTACTCCTTATACCAAAATATATATTTGCCTAGAATTGAAGGTTTAAAACCTTAACCGCATTACCTTATGCATTTTGGGCCTAACTAGGGCTTTACTTTACATAAGGTAATGTGCTAGTTAGGCCAAGAGAAGTTTGCATAAGGTGGAAGAGTTGACTACTTCGCAAAACATCGGGTTTATCTCGGCTCGTTCATTACCCCACCTTCCTATTCCATCCAACTTCACAACCTATTTTTTCTTTCTCCCTCCATCATCTGCATCTCTACCCTTCAAACCACACCATCAAATCTCTGAAAAAAACACATACCAGTACCCAATCTTCTCACCAAAATGCCACTTACATTCCCCATCTCCACCGATTCCCCCAAACTTCTCCAAGACTCTCTTACAAAAGCATCGAAACCACAATATGTGATATTCTTCGCCTCTCTCAAGCCCGACACAAACGAGTCTTGGTGTGGGGATTGTCGACGGGCTGAAGGGCCTTTGAGTGAACAGCTTGGTAAGGCTGCTGGGAAAGAGAGGGTGAAGCTTATTTATGGCGGGTCGCAGATTGAGTATGTTGATGAAATCCTGATATTCTAAGTTTTGGCATGTGGAGATGAGGCTGTGGAGGAAGTGTTTTATATGTTATGTTTTATGTGTTATATATCGTGTGAAAATGACAAGCTAAGAGTTATGCTTTAGATGGAGAGACTTGTCGTCGGGTAAGAAGAGTCCTTGGAGGGAGGAGCCGTGGGGTATTGATAGATTACCTACTGTAGTGAAGATTACTGGGGAGGTGAGCTACTTTTTATAAGTTTTTTGTTGCTTCGTTGGCTTATGTGGTGTAGAAATGGGAAAAATTGATTGAGGAAGATTGTTATGATGAGAAGAAGTTGAATGCTTTTGTTGAAGAGTAGTCAAGTCTCATTGCATGAGCATGAGTAGCAAACCACATGGGGCTTGCAGGTAGAAGAAATGACGCTTGGAAAGCAATTGTGGTGAATTTTATCCCGTTGTTGCTACTGCTTGACCTTATTACCGTTATTGTTTGAGCTCTCTCCTCTCTGTACTCGCACATCGTATTGTCCCCTTATATATTGTTCAGTGCAGCTGTTGCATTTGCATCATATCCCCGGTTTGCTTTCTGAGCCCTTTCGACGACGAGTACGAGTAGTTGTTGCTCTCTTACGAGGTGGCTCTTCGTCTCGCTTTTCTCTTCCTCTACATCTTTCTTGTACTCTCCATTCCTCTCCTCTTTTTCAGCGTCGTCCTTAGTCTGGCCCGTGCTCCAACTCGGGGTCTTAACAAGCCATTTGCAGCCGACAAGAAGAGTTGGCCATGGAAGCCTTGTGGACCTGCGTTTAATGTAGTACTATCAGGATATATAACAGCGCTCAGTCGCATATGAGGCGTACACTCAGGCAGTGCTGGGAATTCTATAGGTGCCTTACATCTTAGTTCGGATGTTCGTCAAAAAGCTAGCGTCCAGATCCAGCATTAGCATGCTACATCCTACCATATAATATACTAGCCTTGCAGTATGTTCAATTTGAAATTTGGCAGAATTGGCATGTTCTGGGTGGTTCTGAAGGATTTCCAAGAACATGAGAATTGAAATGTTCACAACCCCAGATTTGTTTCGAACCCTTGTGGAAGAAAGCCAATCCTAAGGCGTTCTGCTGTAATGAGAGTTGATGGCAATATCTTTTCGACAGTGATGAAGGGGGGTTGAGTGAAGTTTATCGCTGATTAGTTAGTTGAGAATTACTCTATAAGGAAGGTACCATGATAGTAACTCAAAAATAGCATTGAAGAAGGCTAGTCGGCGATACAGCATGGGTCTATTGTTGAAAAATCGCTATGATTATGGCTTTCACACGGTCAATTAATGCCGATAAAAGTGCAAGTAGTTAAAAACAATCATCAATCATGTGTATTCTACAAGTATATCAAAAAGAATCATAATAGCTCAAAAAGGACGTCATTCAGAACCCAGCACCCATTTCACCCATTAATCTCTTCCACAGTCACTATCCCGACTCATCAGCCTTGTACATTATCCACTTCAACCCCTTCTTCAACAGCAGCAGGCTCCCAATCAGGAGTTGGTACCCAACCAGGATTAGCAGGGACAGTATCTACCGCCGGATCAAAAGCTCGAGGAGATTCCAGCTCCGTGAAAATTGTCTCGCCCTCGTAATCGCCAAATCCATCATACGCCTGCGCCAGATCCTCCTCCAAGTCCTTCAACTGCTTGCTAGGTCCCGCCGCAATCGCCGCGATGGTTTTCATAGCTATATTACGAGAAGGATAGGTTTTGGTTCCAGTAGTAGGGTCGATCCACCAAAATTTCTCAATGAACCAGTCGGGATCATATGTTCTCAAACATTCCCACTCCTCTGCAAGTTCTTCGTAATGTGTCGCGAATGCTTTCGTGATGACTCTTTCGGATTTGGTAGGCCAGTATTTTTTATTTGGGGCGGTTGATTGGAGGTTAGCATCGCCATTCTGCTCGTTGTCTTCTTCTCCGGCATTGTTCTTCCTCTTTTCTTCCTCCAATTGCTTGAAATATGCCAAGGCACTATTTTCTGCATCGTCTGAAACGTCTCCGGCACCATGCCAGAACATATCTGGGGCAAAAGTCATCATCCACCACCAATTGCGTATCCATTCGGGGAAACGATTTTGTAGAAGCTCATCAGTTTGCAGGGCCGCAACGATCTTGAACAGCACCTCTTGCTTGATAAACAAGCGCAGCTTCCACTCTTGCTGCGTTTGAATACTCTCAAAGACGTGGCGGCCATTTGGCTGCCAAAGTTCGACATTGGCCTCTTTGAACGCAGGATTAAGGAGTCGACGAGTTGGGTATACGACCATATTACACCGCATCTTATTGTCAGCGGCAGTGGACTCGAGAACAGGCAGTTGGACCGAGGGAGCTGGTAAGCGGAGTGGATGGCCTGGCCCTACCCACCCAGGATAGGGTCCAGCTCCAGCTCCGTAGTGCCAAGTTCTTCCTGAGAAGATGTAGACTTGGAATGGAGAGGCAGGGAAGATGGTTCGCCAGGTGGTGTTGATAAAATGGCCTGGACAATACCAATCGTCAAAGTTGGACATGAAAAAGACGATGGAATAGGAGGTAGGCTGGTCGTCTTTGTCGCAGTGTAAATGTGCCTTCCCTTTGAGAGAGGCTGCCAGGGAGGTTCCTTGCTTGGTATAATTGAGCTGCATGGAATTGAGTGTCGTATTTGTATCCGTACCAAAGGTCATTGCGGCATTCCGATGCCACTCTGCCTCCTGAAACGCGTGGGTATTCTTGTACTCAGGGATCCAAATATCGAGCAACTTTTGGCCTAGAATGCGAGCTCGATGCAAAAAGTCCTTCTTCGAACCATCTGCGTCTTTACGTAAGATCTCAGCCATTTGGAGCCTCCTAGGCCCATGTCCAGGCTGCCTCGTAACGCCAATCTCATAATGCATCCCTTTCCTGGACGCGTAGTCGGGATACTTCCGCTTCATGGTTGTTGCTAGGCCTTGCTGAAACTCGGGATTGAGAGCAATTTGGCGTAGCTCGCCAAGTTCTTTCAGAAGACCACATTGCTCCAATTCTCTTTCGCTTAGACGCAGGTGGTTGGTGAAGCGGGTGGGTGGCTTATCCGGGTGCTGGGCTTCAAATTGGTGCTTCTCTCCACCCTCCATGAAGAGATATCCAGCCTTTTCTAACTCCTCCGTGGTGTGGTATCGAGATTCTCCTAGAATAGCAGGAGATGTATGCGTAATCCTCAAGCGTTCAGTGGTTAACAGCTTTCTTTTGTAGTCAACCAGCCTGTATATCCAGGCGCCATCCTCATACTGACGTTGGTAGATATCATTGCGAAGTTCGAGCGATTGATCCATTGTACTAGATTTATGCAGGGCTGTGAGTGGTCAGTAATTCTTATTATGAGACTGATTCAGAGTCTAAGGAAAAGAACAAGAAAACTTACAAGGGGAATGGTGTTTGTTTATTGTAAGAAGGTTCAGAATTTTGAAGACCCTTCAAAGTCTTAATATGCCATTTGTGTGCCGAACTTACTCCGATGTGCTTGAAGGCTGTACACTGGATGATATCCTTTCAGCCTATCAATGACAGAAAAATCACGAGACTTCCCGTGTCCATACTGTAAATGACCATGGCTTACCTCAGCCATGTCCCCGCCGGTGAATTGATGTAAATAAAGGTGCTAACACATGCTGTACTAGTGTATCTGTGAGTGATGTTGGGATGATAGAATGTTATATGTACGTGTTGGACTTGCATATTGGAGTCTATTATTGATAGGACTCGGATGAGTACTATTCAACGCTCTAGAACTCAATTGGAGACGTATTGTAATAACTCTTTAATATGAACTATACTAGATAAATGCTCGGAATCTGGGGCGCATTTAGATAGTCTCAACTGTTCTTTTTATTGGATAGTATATGAGTGTTATATATTAGTGGGACGTTAAAATAGTCTCAACTCTACTTTTAGCCGAATTTTAGATAAATATTACACATTAGTAAAACACTAAATGGTTTCAGCTCTACTTCTAGTTGGAGACTATTTGAGTGTCATAAATTGGTGAGACATCCAAAAAGTCCTGAGTATGCTTTCGGTTGGATACTAGATCAATATTCCAATGGTATTGATACAATTAGACAGTATCACCTCTACTTTTAGATTAACACTAGGTCATTTTGAAAATTTTCGATAGCTCTAGCTAGATGTCAGCTTTACTTTTTTGAATGAATATAAGATAAAGCTCAAGTGCTGAAGATAAAGTAAAATAGCTTTACTTTAACTTTTAGATATATAGTTGAGGATTTCTCAAGAGTGAGTCTGATATTAATAGTCTAGTCTGATTCTACCTCTACTCTCTTGAAATAATATCAACTAATTGTTTCAAATGTTGAAAGTAGATTGCACTACACTATTCGGACTTTTGAAATCACATTAGATAATTGTTCGAACTTTAGTCTGACAACGAAATCTAATTGAATGTCATCTGTGTTTTAACAAATTGATTTCCACTTCCTCATCAGTACTTGTTCGTGGTTTCCTGACTTTCCATGATGGCCCAGCTTGGCGGTGGTATCGTGGGTATGCGTCAGGTATAAAGGTGTTCTCCGAGTTCTGGAAAGGTCTGGGGAATTTCTTAGAGCAAACAGGAGCCGCAACCTCGCTTTTGTGAAACATACCCGGCGCTACCGTGACTGGATTGTGTTCTCCGCAAGGGCCGTGAACAATAATTCTTTTACACCAATGCAGTCAATTCCCCAGTAGGATTTAGCTCCGCAGATGGAAGCTCGGCCATCATTACCTTATCTACCAGCTCTGGCCTATCGTATGGATAATCCGTTCGTCGAAGTATAAGGAGTAGATGTATATAGGGTAGACAGATATTGAAGCAATTTGAGTACAATTAGATGATATTATTATAGCTTCTAATAACATTACAGATGATTCTTTCACATTTGAGTTTGACAATAAGAATATAACAGAGTTTTATCCAAAAGAATTTAGAAGAAGACTTCGCGTATGCTAGAGTGATAAGGATACAAGTAGGTAATATAATCCTACTAGTCTTCAGTTGAGTACTACGCGATTGTCTATATCTTAAGTTGATATCAAAGTTAACTATTCCGTTGTATTTATACTCATTCAGATAGGTATCAGATTGATGCACTGACGTTAGATATACAATCAGATACTATCAGTCCATTCGCTGGCCAGCTAGATACCAGGGAAGTATTCATAGTCTCAACGCACGTTTGTACCAAAACTAGGTTATAATTATAATATTTCTAGATGAATACTAATTAGACTTGTAGATACTACATATACAACTACATGATTTAAGCTAGGTCTTTGAATGTAAATTAGATGAATGCTTGTGTTCTAGATGAATGTTTGAGGGATGATTAGGCGAGAGACGACTAGATGACACGCATCGAATTCTCATAGTTTAGATCAGTACAATCAGAGAGTATCAACCGAGATTTCAGTTATGTATATACTAATCAGTAATGAATCGTAAGCAAAGATTAGATGTATGATCTGTCAGGGGCTGTTAGATTCTATGCCTGAGGCATCAAGTTAGGCTAGTTGAGGGGATATAAACCCACTTTCTCATCTAGCCACCTGTCTTTTCATAGTTTACTAAAACAATTAATTATTCGATATCTAAGTGCTCTTTTTCATTCAGATCTGGATTCTGTGACAGAGTAAACTATCAAACCAACGGCTTGAGCCGTCGGAGAGTATTTCAGGTTTCGGAAGAATTTCCATCGATTCCATTTCTATCAATTCCTTCGACGCTGTTCTACAACTGATTCAGATTACTGCGTTTATAGCTCATTCCATTATTCTCAACTTCTGAATGATATCGTATAAACATATCTATAAAAGATGCCAAGAGTCCGAGCTTTTTGGTGGTGAAGGGTTCTGCTTTGATGATATCCCCTAAACCACCAGAGAACTGCAAACCAGGTTGTACAGCCTGTAGGCTTCGCAGCGGGTACTCGTGAGGCAGTTTGTTGAGCTAGTAAATAATCTATAGGTATTTGCAATTCTAAACAGAGTGGACCAGATAGTGATAATATCATTACTGAAAACTCATCGAGACGGCGTATCTTAGAATAGCTCACACGCCTGTATACTCATACTAGCTGATAAAAGACTTGGGATTAGATCTTCAAATCATCTTATATCTATCATATCTCAAAGACTTCCAAGTTCCTATCAAATCAACCACTCTATATTTTTAGCAAAACCTCATACTAAACAGTAAAGCAGCACTTCAGAGAACTTGGTAAGGGTATATACAAGTTAGATAGATATTATACACCACTAAGATACTAATAATAAAATATCCACTCAAATACACAAAACAGCATTTAACTCCCTCACAAAGAGTACTGGTACTACTAGCTAATTTCACTCAAATGCATCATCCCCATCACGAGCACTTACGTCTATCGTCTAATTATCTAATTATTGAGATCTCATAGTAACTAGTAATTATATACTAAAAAATACAAAAAAAAAGCGAATTTAGAAAGTAACCTAGAGTCAAATAAAATAGACTGCGGTATTATAATATTCGACCCGATAATAGATCAAGTAAGAAATACATTAATACAATAAGTACAATTAGTGAATAACTTGGACTAGTAGATTAGAATATTATATTTTAATCAATACTGAGTAGTTGAGATTATTTAACTAAACTGATTACTAGTTCGGATTCAATAAACAAACAATCTATTAGTTAGTTTCACTAGTTAAACCAACTAAACTAGCAAATGGGGATATTATACTAGTAATTCAATTAACTAAATTGCTAGTTTAATCAGTGCACTAGTTCAACTGGTTAACTATTAATTATACCGGCATCAGACCCTTCGCCCTCTTGAGTTCAAATATTATCAATTACTTTAATTACAATAATCTAAAAGATCCTCAGGAACTATTCCGATATCTGTATCTGTATCTGTATCTGTATCTTGTCATCTCATCTCATCCCCCTCCGTCCCACATCATAGAACGTAGATAGATACAAATGAAAGATAGAAATAAAATATATACAAAGCGCAAACTGGGTATCCTTATCAAGCATCCGTCCATCCAACCCTCCCTCCCTCCATCCATCCATTCCTTCCCATAAACGCCTTGAGAAATTATGTATAAATATATGACCCATTCAATCCTACCAGTATCAAGCTCCCAACTCCGACATCTCCCAAGTATCTCCCAAAAAAAATGTCGACAAAATAAATCCCATATGGTAGTGTAGTGTATTATGTTGAAGTGATCGTCACTCAGTATCGAATCGTAATATATTGTGTTGAAATTCGGTCCCCAGCATCAGCATCGTACCAGCCTGCATAGATCATTCCTCGAATACCTCAGCCAAAGCATCATGATCAACTGTATCCGGAATAACCTTGCTAGGCGCCTTTTCCGTCTGTCTGAACCCCGGAATTGGACCTTTCTGATTAATACCAGCAGCTCTCCCCATTATAGCCCTTAAAGGGTCTGGAGTTATTGAGATAGATGGTGTACTAACGGCTCGAATTGTTGGTGGAGGAATTGGTATCTGAGCTTCCGAGGTACTTCTAAGATCATTAATTGATTTAGCAGGAGATATTGCCCAACGAGCAAAGACCCAGCCACCGACTTTCTTTCCTAGACCATTGCTTCTGCCTTCATTGGATGAGGTGGATCGAATGGAAGTTCTGTCATTGCTGGGTGATCTTGTCGAGTTTGTGTATCCGATATTTGAGCGAAGGTAACTTGTACTACTATGTCCAGTCCGACATAATGTCGGCCGAGCTGTAATCATAGATGCGCTGGTAATGGTTTCCGTGGAGTATGCTGTTGTTGGAGTAGAAAGCCTAGATCGTGGTCGTATTATTGCCCGTGCGGAGGTCATATTTATTTGTGAAGGTCGTGCTTTCAATGTATGGATATCAATGCCTGAAATTGAGACAATAGATTCATGGGATGAAGAACGGCGTAGCCTGGGACCAAAATGGGGAGGCATCCATTCATCGACCGTATCGTCAGAAACATCCGAAGTGGTAGGATTGGAAGAATCATCCGTGAGAGAAGGAACATCGGCAATCTGTAGGTCTGAAACATCATGAGAATCGCCATCCTCCTCTTCATGGATTATATTATGTGGTTGAAAATTAGTAGTAGCCGCAAAGCTTCGTGTTGAGACTTCAGATGAGCGTTTTCTGTGATACGAAGGATGAATTCGAGGGGACAATGGGTCAATACTCGAGGTAGGTGAAGTCGGAGATGAATCGACGTCGAAGTTTCGATCGAATAAAGCACTGTTTCGATACATGGATTGTGGGGATGATGGCACTGACGAAGGAGCAAAATCCGACAGTTGATTTGATTGAACTGACCATCGGTTATTGGTATTATTAGGACTTGGGACTGTGACTGCTGTTTGGGATAGTATGGCATTCTCTGCACCCCTAGAAATGCGTGGAGATTGTGGACTTCGACTAAGTGGAGAGAAGATACTGGAATTCAGAGAGGTTCTCTTCTTTTTCGGCTTGCGTGTCTCCTCTTTCCTCGGTGTATGGTAATGATGATGTATATGAAGTGTTTGAGAAATAACTTGCGGGTCTTGTGGTCGTGAATCGGATTCTTGTTCGCTTGGCGCAAGTTCTGCCCCTAAAGTTCGCTGCTGAGTTTCGTTGTCGGTATCATCCCCGTACATTGGTTGATGCATCAATAACTGTTCCCGCAAGATCTGCACTTCATCATTCGAATTCATCAACAGATCCCTCAATTCCACTATCCCAAGTTGTAGATTCGCATTGTCTTGTAGGATATCTTTCACAAAATGTGATACAACACTAGTACCATGCTTGGTTCTTCCAGTTGTGATAGCAGCGGCACCCTTCAATCGACATGCGGCCGTATCTAGTTCTCTTTCGACTGTGCGTTGTCTCTCTATACGACCCAAAATCTCCACATGTCGTTCCTTTTCCTCTCGTGCCTCTCGTTCAATTCTCTCCAGTTGATCTTGCAAATCACACAATCCTCTTTCCGCTCTCTTCCACCTCAGTAATGCAGTGCGCTCTTCTGCTTCCGAGTGTATAATCGTGTTTCGTAAAGTATGTTGTTCCTCCTCTAAGATTGCTAAGTCTTTTTCCAGCTGATTTGTTCTCGAGGCCAAAGTCTCTAGGCGTTTCATTTCGGTGTGCGTACTCTGTAAGGTCGTCTCGAGTAATTTGATCCGTAGTTCCGATTCCTCAAAACTACTGTTCATCCCGTCTAGTTGATCTAGTAGCCCTTTATTTTCCTCAATCGTCTTTTCGTTCCTAACCTCCAACTCCCTCTTATCGACCTCCAACTGCTCAATCTTCGCCGTCATCTTTGCACGTTCTCGTTCCGCATCGACCATATAGTGTTCGTGCCTTTCTAGAAGAGCCTGCAAAGCGAAAGTCAATGATTGATTCATCTTCCTAATTTTATTTCTCCCCACTCCTTCACATCCCTCCAATTATATAGGCGCGTGGAAAACGCGGGGTTGTAAACAAAAAGAAGATTAGATTAATTTAAATCAACAGTAAATATAGCCAACACCAAGATCCCAGTACACACTCCCCCTAAGTAAAAATCTCTGCTACTTTAATTTCCCCTCAGGTTTGACGATGTGAAGAAAATAGAAGAGATACGGAGGAATGTAGAAGATCAATAGTAACATAAACACAAAAATGAGAGACATGAAAGAGATCGTACCTGGCCCATCTGAGCTGCCAACGTCACATCCCCTTCAAGTTTATCCAAAACCTCCCCATTATGAACGAGATATGCGCAATCTTTGCGCCCGCAACAACATGTGGGTGTACTACGTTGTTGTTCATTACTCTGTGGAATGTGGTCTATCAGATGTGATAAATCGGCCATGATTGGAGGCGTTTTCTTCGTGCAGCTTTGGGGGGCGGAAAGCTAGACAGGTGGCTGCGTTATCTTGCTTGATGAAGAATTCTTGGTTTCAGGGCTGTTAAACTTTTGAGTCTTGGTGTAGCGTTGTACTCCAGGTACCATCGTCGCGATCTATTCGATTGTACGCCCTTTGATTCTACCGTCGCTCGGTGATTGAATGAAATTGATTGTATGTGATTATTTACCGAAAGGAGAAGCATGCATGCGACACGGTGTAAAAAAGATTTGTGATTGTAAGGAGAGGTTGGTAATTTCCATACTTTGTGAAGTAATTACTCATATGCGGTGCAGATCATATCTGCATCGTGACTCTGGTTCCTGCTAAACGTTGGCGCCGCAGAGTTTATTCAGGTACGCCCGCTAAATGATTGGCGTTGAGAAATTATTTAGTGGTGACTAATGCATGGAAATAGAAGCTAAAGCTCCGTCATTGAACAGCTATTCCCTGCAAGAATGCCCTGTAACTCTCTACACGGTACCACCAACCAAAAGAAACCCACCAAATTGAGCTGATTAAACTGTAGAAAGTCGGTCAAACAAAAAAATTGATCTTTGTGAATCTTATACATCAACCCGAGACATTGGGATCGTGGAGATCACGAGTCAGCTATGATTCAGATCCACTGAGGAGGACGATTTACGGCAGTAGCACATGTTGTTATGCGAACAGATTGTCGAGCCTCGAGTGAGGATTGAAGCATGAATTCCATATGCATGTCGTTGAGTTGAACAGACTATGAAATCATGGACGAGGAACCCGGCACGGCGGTAGTGGAGAGACATAATTATCCCAATTATCACCACATTACAAAGTACAAGTTGCTATGCGAACAGAGTGTCTCGAGTGAGGGGTGGGAGCACGATCAATACCATGGATTTCACAAGTTGTTAGTTATGAAGGTATCTACTAGGTAGGTATGAATGAGACCTGGCCCAGGGAGACTGATTATCACAGCTGTACACGTTGTCTTGTGAACAGATTATTGGTGATCTAATCTTCAAGACCCCGAAGATCTCTACTCAACTCGAACTTGTCATTCGTTGCGGATACAAACATCACAATGCTTCTCTGTTGAATGGGCGATCAAGGTGGGCGGGCAGTGGAAATTCATTCGAAGTAGTCTATCATCAGATATCTAATACTCAAATGAGGAGAACATCAGAATCTGAATAATATGCTTATATTCAATCCCGATACAAATCCTATCTATATTTTATGCAAAATCCATGCAAAGTTCACACGCACCATATCTACCTTCCTCTATTTACAACCTCTGGAGCTTCCACCCACATTCCCAGATCTACGCAGACCCACTATCCTCACCCTCCTTACCCTCTTTACCCTCCTTACCCATCCCGTAAGCTTCAACAATCCTCTTCCCCACTGCCTCCCCACTCCAATAAGCCCCCGTCGTCGTCCCCAACGCAATAAACGGCGCGGTATGTTCCCCCGCAAACCATAACCTCCTCTCCGGAAACCCTTCCCCCAACACCCTTACATCCTCATCTCCCTCTTTCAACCCTACCTGAAAATTTGTGTAGCTTCCATTCCCCGCCAACTCATCCATAACCCATTGCGTCCCCACACAACTTATTGGTCTACACCCCTCATCACCCTCATCAAAATTAGGTAAGAGTGAATAGTACGGGTTAAAAAACTTAATCAAGTATTCGTCTTTCTCTTTTTGCGTTTGGAGAGCAGAGAGATCTTTGGCGAAAAGCAGAGATTGCTCGCCGTAGATGTAAAGGAGGAGTGTGGGGTGAGCGTTTGAGGCAGTGAAAGATGAGAGGGGGACGATTTCTTGATGCCATTTATGAGGGTTTGTGTCGGGTGTGTATTTTGGAGATAGCCACTGAGTGAAACCGTCGAATGTTTGGGAGGCAGGGGAAAGCGCGGGGGTGGTCCAGAAGGCACGGGGAAATGTTATGTAGACCTGGTATTCACTGTTAGACTTGGAGATTTTGGCAAGAGATATAGATCAATACAAACCTTTTCGAGACGACCAAAGCCGAGAGAATCCACCGCGGAAAGAAACCGTGCTGGAAGTGGTGGTTGAAATGCTTGTTTGTTGTTCTTTAACCATCCCAGTGGTGTAGTCATTATCACCTCGTCAAAGTCTAGTTTCGTTCCGTCGTCCGTGAATACAGTGACACGATCAGGGATCGTTTCCACGAGAGTAACTTTCGTCAAGAACTGTATTTTAGCTTTCTCTAGAGCTGGTTTGGCGACATGAGCGAGAATATTTTGGTATGTTCCGGCCATGAAAATGTTCTCTGGTAAATATTAGCACATTCCGACATTCAATTGCCGATTCGTCCCTCAATAGTATGCACAGACATCAAAGGGATCATGATTTGTGTATCATCCTCCGTGGCCTGGGGGCAGGTAAATATTAACTCACCTCCATTGATGCACTCTTCAAGCCAAAAGTATTTCAAGCTTTGTTTCTTGACCGAACTTCCAACAAAAGTTCCCCATATATCAGCAAACTGTATCGAGATTCTTCTCCTTTCAGCATCATTAGGGTACGCTTCCAAAAGCTTTTCTTCTATAAAATCATAAAGACTCTTATCAGGATCAATACTTTCCGCATTCTCCTCCGAATACTTGAAAGCTCCGTGGATGATTTCCCATACTTCTTTCATCATTGCATCGCCATCAGTGAGAGGTCTTCCATCTTCTCCAAACCATATCCCCTTTTCAGCCCATGTATGGACCTCCGTGTTTGTCGCTTTAGCAATATCTAACAAAGGCTGATCCTCACTGCCATGAAGCCAATTTGCTCCTAAATCGACCAGGGGACCGGATGGGAGGTTGATCTGATGAACTCTTCCACCGATACGATCACGCCCCTCTAAAATGGTAACATCGAAACCTTGCTGGAGTAATACATCGGCACATCGGAGTCCGGAAAGTCCAGCACCAATGATGCAGATTTTTGGTGACAATGTAGGATTTTCCCTTCGTGGCTTTGAACGGAGAAGCGTTAGTACAGGAACCAAAACTTTGATCAATCCATATTTATACTTTGCATCCATTGTATTATTATTACTCTACAAATGCAAGGGATAGTTGGATGCAATTTTATTCCAACTCACCTTGGTTGGGAAGTTCGATGGTGATCGTATGATATTAGACTGAGGCGTAACACGTTGAGAAGGGTACAGATCTTGATGTGTTTTTGACAAACCTCTGTCTGAAGAGGGAGTGTGGGTTGTTAGAACGCTGTGCATGGAAGTGATGGAAGATGATATAGGCTGGCAGGATAAGTTGGATTTATAGTGGAAACGCAAGTACACCTAGGTATGTCGAAGTTGTATGAATCATGGTGATGAAGTCGAACTGGGTGACAAACAACAAACAGGGGTCTCGCTTCCGTAGACGGGCTACAGTCGCAAGCAGTTCAATCGACAAAACCAATGACTAGCCAGTATTGAGTTTCATAGCTCCAAAGTCTTTGCTCGCGTGACAAATGCATCGAGAAGAAAATCAGCACTTGCTCTAGGCCATATACATAGCCAAAATCTAAACACTGTGCGTAACCTTAGACTATAAGCCGCAATTGTTGCAAAGCCCGCTGATTTTCTTGGGTCGATGAGATAGTGAATTTCCATAGGCCTTTCATGTTCTAAAGAAACCACTCTATAAGGGAAACGTTACAATACAAGCTCCGTAGGAAGATAGCTGGAACCGAAGAGGTTGATCCCAGGCATATCAGGTTTGTACAGTGGTGTTTCGGTAATGAAGCAACCAGCTGTAGCGTCATAAAGACAGAGATGGAAATAAGCCGTACCTGTCGTAGGTATGTTTTCAGCTTTCATATCCATATCCAAATCCTATCCAATTGTATGTTCTTGCCTTCGAGATCCAGTGTTGTAATTTTCGATTTTGAATTTCCAACAACATAAATTTCATTGGTGAGATGACAAGTCAAAGCTGTGTGATTATGTAAGCGGGTATCTAAAAAGCGCCAAGCCTAGCTCCAGGGCACGAGCCGACGCATCATTATTGTGCTAGCCCCGGATACTAGTGATGACAAGTCTAGAATAAAATGGCCACCCAAGTTCGTCCCCAGATTGAAGGCAATTTCTGGGCTTCACCCTCGAATCCCAATCATGCGGACCTCGAGAATCTCCAAAGATACCGCGAAGATAATCAATGCGACATCACTTTCACCGCGACGTTCCACTCGTTCCCTATCACGGTTTTCCCTGAACGCCTCGATCAAGGACGAAGATCAATCGCCAACTCCAGATATTGAAGATGCTATTCCTTCGACTTCTACACTTAAAAGAAAGAGAATCCCGGCTGCGAAAACTCCAATAAAGAAACAATCTCTTGACGAAACAACCATTAAGACTGAAATCGAAGACAGTGTTGCGTTTTCCCCTCCATCGAAAACAAGCCGTGTGCGCAAGCCCGCGCGCAAAGTCAAAAACGAAGATACAGGAGAGCTAGAGATCAAACCTCCTAACGATTGGAAAGATGTCTACGATGTAGTAATGGAGATGCGGAAATTGGGCGTGGCTCAAAATGCAGCCGTGGACACAATGGGTTGTGATAAGTTGGGACAAGAGACTGTTGATCCGAAAACGAAGAGATATCACACCTTGACTGCTTTGATGCTGTCTTCGCAGACCAAGGATACTACGAATGCTGTTGCTATGAATCGGCTTTACACGGAATTACCTGCTTATAAAGAGGGTGCATCAATTGGATTAAATTTGGATAACATATTGGCCGTGGATCCAAAGCTCTTGAATGAGCTGATTTGGGTGGTGGGATTTCATAATAATAAGACCAAGTATATCAAAGCTACGGCGGAAATTCTTGAGGATCAGTGGAATGGCGATATACCGGATACGATAGAGGGTTTGATGTCATTGCCGGGAGTTGGTCCGAAGATGGCTTATTTGTGTATGAGTAGTGCTTGGGGTAGAACGGAGGGGATTGGTGTTGATGTACATGTTCATCGTCTCACAAATATGTGGGGCTGGCACAAGACTAAGGGACCAGAGGAAACAAGACTTGCGTTACAGGCTTGGTTGCCAAAGGAATTATGGCACGAGATCAATTGGCTACTGGTTGGATTTGGACAAACAGTCTGTCTACCAGTCGGAAAAAAGTGTGGCAGTTGTGAGTTGGGAATAAATGGATTGTGCAAGGCTGCCGATAGAAGTAAAGTCACAATTGGAAGAAAAATCAAAGAGGAAAAGATGAAGACAGATCCGGACGGTAATGTGGACGAGCACACGAAGACTGTCAAGGCCGAGGAAGATAGTAAATACATACCACTGAACCCTAAAGAGAAAGCCCAAATCAAGTCCGAGACTGGTGTCATCAAGCGGGAGGAGGAGAACACCGGAGAATTAGAGAAGACGCCAAAGAGGAAGAGGAGATGAGATCGTTCTCGCAAGCTTTTGGCATTGTACTATATCATGTATTACTTGTGTAACTATATTGTATATCCTCGCATAATGAGGGGTTGCATTTCCGGCTCAGTGGCTACATCACAAATGCATATTTTATCAAATATGCAGGAGATGATCAATGTTAAGCGTGTATTGCATCTACATTATATTACTCCTCTACCGTCTTTCCAACAGTGGTCTAACCGCCATATGTTTCCAGAATGACTCCAAAATACCCAACCAAAACTCCTCTACCGTCTTTCGGACAGTGGTCTAACAGCCATATGTCTCCAGAATGACACCAAAATGCCCAACCAAAATTCTATCACCTAGGCATAATAAATACCAAGCCTCCCTACCCCGCCTTCAATCCCATATATCCATTTCCATCTCCCATCTCATCACACCATACCCCCCCAGCTCTCTCTACGACTGAAACACCCCCACAACCTTCTCCGCCAACAAAGGCCAGCCGAGCACAAACGCAAAGCTAGGAAAATAACTATCCACAACCATATTAGCATTCATCCCATCCAATTCATTCAACCCATCCCATTCATCCCATTCCACTCTTTTAACATCACACTACACCAACAAGAACAAGAAATAACTTACATTACAGCACTCCCAGCAGTCCTCTTAATCAATTTACCCCAATCAGCTTTCGCAGCCTGTTGTGCGATGGGATAGCGTTCGAGGGGATGGGGTTCGACGACTCGAGTTAGTTGGCGGACTTGTGTGAGGATGGAGAAGGCGCGGCGGGAAGTTAGTTGGCGGAGTATGGGAGACATGGTTTTGAGGGGGTATGGTTGATTGGCTGGGTGGGATGTTTTGAGAGGGGGTGGTTGTTTTGGTTATTGGTTGGGTTGATTGGTGTGTATATGTGCGTGTGTGTGTGTATGTGTATTGCGATTGAGTAGAGTAGAGTAGAATTGACACTCGTGATATTATGCACTGTATGATAATAATATGCTATGATATGCTATAATATGCAACAGAAGTAACACGACAGCGAGCACGAATATATATATATATAAAGAGACAACAATACCAACCTACTCACCATACATACACACATCATACCTTTCCAACCGCCAATCCCACATCCAATCCAACCCCGAACGAAGCTTCTAGCTCAGCTCAGCTCCAAATCCCAGAACCAGCAAACACAATCGAAAACCCAGCAAACCAGTCATCAAAACATGTGAGAACCGCACCATGATGGTCTCATATAGGAAGAACATCATGCGAAAAATCAGCACCTATGAATTATGTTGGTGTAATATCTCCTAATATTCGAGTATTTTTTCGCTTGGAATCGCTTGATTTCTAAATATGTAATTCAGTAACCAATCATGAATCCACTTTTACCAACTCGCGGATTTGGCTCGTATAATGGGAGTTCTGGGAAATGGACAAATGGACAAGGGAATCAAGAATGGGAAAGGTCGGAGACCATATTGATGTGAGAAAATTTGGGTGTAAGGTGATGGTGGTGTGACGAAGGATTTACATCAGGTCATTTATGGTGCGGGCTAGGCTGGATAGGGAATAGTGGGTTTTCGGCGGGGGCCGAAGATGTGCCTGGGGTTTTTGACGACATCGATTAGCAAGACTGCTCGTATTTTCGAGTCAAGGCATTCTTGTTCTAAAAAGAAAGTGTTATACGACAGCAGTGATATGTGAGTTAGATACCGGTATTCTTTCTATCTTAACCCTGCACACTAAACTCTCCAAGAACTCGGTCGCCTGGGATACCAGGAGGCTGATCCTTGGAGAGCCGACTATTACTTGGAAGTAGGGCTTCACACACTCTGTCGAAAGATCTATGATGGACCTTTGGCTCGGGACAGTTTGCGATGATTCGACGATAAGGAACCTCAAAGTGCAACCCCGCGAATGCCGGTACTCATCTGGAATGAACGTTGAGTTCCTGAATACTTTTTCGATGCTAGTTGAAATATTGAGGTTAAATTGCTCAAAGTTAAGTCCAACAACAAAGTTTCGATGTCTAATTTCAAGTGAGTCGTTAAGTGTACAGTGTTTCGGGTTTGGAGCAGAATATAAAGGTCCAATGTCGAATATTTTCAATCATCACTTTGGTCTCGGTTAAAAACAATGCATCGAACTGTCTACCCTATATTCATCTATATCAGACGTTTTTCTGTGCAACTTGCTCTGTGTGTCGTCCCCTAGCAGTTGAAACCTTTCTTTTCATCTAAAGATAGCCCGGCTTGATTCTAAGCATCCCATAGGTTAAGCCTTCGAAACTCAATTTTTGTGAAAACGAGGTTCACTATGATGACCAGGCACACTCTAACTATCAGGAACACCCTATAAGTTGTCAGTATCAGAATATAATAGGTAAATGCTAGCATTACCCAAGCTTAGAGCCTCCACCAGAAAAGTTTCATTACAGCACAAAGGCTGGTGGGAATGAAGATTGTGGTCAAACTACTGTACTCATGCATCAGTCTCCGAGGTTCCCCAATAACAATGTCAAGTATAGTATTTACCACCTTTTCAATCATTCCTCATTACTCTATCTTGTCAGCTCTCCGACTTCTCTGAGCAATTCTCAGGGGTCATCATGACTACCATGACACACCCTTCTGCTCGGCGATAACGATTCGTCACAGCAATGGTCTTTAAGTACTTATTTGCTATTGTTTCTTTGCCTGACTGATGTATCGGTAATCATTCTCTTGCTCCAAGATCTGCCATACTATCAATACAACCAGTACTAGCTACTGACATCGAAATGTTGTACATGAAGGTTCATTCCACCACTTCCTCTCATTTCCATAAAGAGTATTGTCGAGTATTGACTTCTCAATTTCTACACCTAATTGAATTTTCACTGATTGGCAATTACATGGAATTCTCCCCACCAAGAGACAAGATGTTTACTGCGTCAAGATTCTTCATTCGTTGAACTAAAATCATGATACTATCCGCGTTGCCATTGATGTGATAGACTATCTCAAGACTCTGAGCACAAAAAAGTTACTAGGCATCTCAGTTGAGCGAAGATGTCCACCACTTCTCTTTTTGTGTGTTTGATGGCCATGGGGTCAACATCCGTATAAAGCATGGCAAAATAATGCGACGCATCTGATGCCAATGCAACACGGACTTTGCATCATGTATAATAGAGCGTGACATTCCGATAGGATCTACCAGGACCTCCTCCCAAGCTTCTCCCAGATCCTCTGAGATAATCAACTTTCGACAGATTACCTCAGATTTTTCTGGGCTCTCCATTGATTCTGATGGTTTAATTTGAAGATCAGCTGGCTCATTTATTACAACTATCAGTTCAACATATGTTGAATCCTCGATTTTTTGTGAAGAACACACGGGGCTCGGCTGAAAATCTACTATCGCAACTCGACCTACCAGTCATGAATTTGGTGAGGGGCCACATGGTTCTTGCGTGATCGAGATTCAGATTAGATCGTCATTGAAAGGAAGTGGATATGAATGAACGTAATATTTTATTTAAGAATTATTCAGCTTTATTTTAATGCCCGTTAAATGCGCGTCCTTTGCATGTCATAATATCTCCAAAGGGATTGTAGCTTCAATAATTTCAGTTGGGAACTCACTTCCACTCTGACGACAGTTATAGTGAAGTGTTTTGCTAACGCAGTTAAACACAGATATCTCCATGGAATTCATCACAACAATGGGAAGTAGCAGCTTACATCGAGTTGCGAAGAATAGTCGCATAAAGGGTCCTTATCCACATGATTGGGCAGCTCGACTCGTGAGATATCTGGACAATCTTATGCAGAGGAGCGTCTCAGTATCATGATGGTAACCCTGTTATATTTGCCCACAATGCAAATCAAGTAATCTCTCTGACCGTCTCTGAGCTCTTTCATTGGAGGATAGCGATTCCGAATAGTAGCTCGAGTGATGAGCTAGAAGCTGCTACGTTTTCTAACACACAACGGAAACTTTTCAGATCTTCCGGCCGCAATTGCGAATCATCCAGGTAGCGATATACTTGGTTGTTGCTTCGTGGGCCTTACAGCCCCTATTGATATCAAACGAGACGATGGACATCGACCCATGATCAAAAGATATTTATCGGGAGCCATGATAGCTTGAAATATGGTTCTCTGATTCTAGTAATAGGGAGGGTGAAATTACCTTAAACTTCTCATGAGGAAGACAGGAGCGTGCTAAGAATACTCTTGTTGCCTTCTTGCTTCCTTCACTTGAATCATCGCTGACAGATTTGTAAATCAGTTCATATCTGCATGACTGAAATGACAATGTGGTTTATCGCAGTGTGTAATATTGAGCGTTTGTTGGCTATAATCAGAGAGAACACAGCAACATCTCAAGGCGTTTGCTGAGGAACAAATCCCATATCACTCCACGTCACAACTTTGCAATTGTGAAAAAGCTTTTAGTAATCAAACTTTCTTGGAAGAGATGAATTCTCAAACCAGAGGACTCGCTCAGTAGCAGAGTGCATCATGAGCGATGTAGCTTTATGGGCTTGATTCCAAGGTGGATGAAATTGTAAGTGAAATATCGAAGACGACCGACACCACCGGCATGATCCACTAGGTGATTACGTCTGCTGAGAGCAATCTACGAAAAGCCAAACATTCCTAATCCACTAAGACTAAAAAGACTACCACTTCTCGATGAAAATAAGTTCAAGGAGTCTCATAGGCATTTGATAGAAAAAGGTATCAGAAGCCACAGATTCTGATCAAATTGGATTTGTTGGAGCGAGACTAGATCAAATGATCAGGATGGCGAAGACCACAACAACAATGAACTGGAAGATACTAAGGCCGACAATTGTTTAAGACGGAACGCAAGATCAATTTAAGTGGGTTAGGTTGTTCTGAGTAGTTGCGCGGTGACTTTTAGGTTGAGTATCGAGGAACTTGGAGTTTTAGAATTTTGAGGTAACGAAAAACCATTTAAAAATATGTCTTTCCTTTCTCCAGCACTTGACAATTAATCTTTACCTGCAGCTATCTTCAAAGCGCTCACTCGAACAGTGTACCAAGCATATTTGATTTATTCCATATATAATAACAATATGCAGTAACAAAATTACACACAAACAATACGCTATCCCATCCCATCTCATCTCATCTCATCTCATCCCATCTCGTCTCACCTCTCCCCTTAATCCTCATCTCATCACCCTCTCACCGCCTCCCACCCGAACAATATAGTATCAAGTACGAGCATAACTCCCACTCAAACAGGTCAACTGGCTTAGTGGTCAACGTGCCGCTCCTGAAGTTCAAGATCTTAAATTATTTGATGCATCCAGGCTATGTCTGATTGCACAGCTCATCGAGAGTCTGATCTGATCAGCTCTTGTGGGGTTGGGACGGTGGCTCCGTAAAAAGGAGTGTTGTTTTGCTATTTTTGTTATTGGTAATTCTTTTTTTTTTCTTTTTTGGAGTTTTGGGCACTGGATTTCTAGTCGCTGGTCGCTGGTGTTGGATCTTCTTGTGTGGGGCATGGTATTGGTATTGGTTAGAGGAAGAAGGGTTAGGGAGATTTACTATTTATGCGGCTAAGGAAGCTTGTGGTTTCTTATTGATGCACTTTGTTTGTGTTTTTGGTTTTTCCTAAACTCAGACTCGTCAGTAATTGTGCTCTTGCCTTTGACTCGTAGGTGCTTTCAGTATTCAAGTTTATCGATATCTATCATGGGAGTAGAAACTCGTATTGTAAAAATCTTTGATCAGAGTGGCCAATCAGTCAGCTAGCTGATCAACGATGATTATCAGCAAGTGTAAATCAATTAGTTGATATTATAAAAGATAATCGGTCAGTTAGTGAGGATATATTTTCGCTGATTAGTACTGTGTTAGTAAGAAGGTTCTATTTTGGGGTTAATAAGGTCTGTTTTGGGAGGGGTAGGGAGATCATATGACAGATTCTGATGATTTCAATTGGTGAAAAAAAAACCCTTTCAATATTTAAGGTACATTTTGGGAATTTTGAGTGAGATTAGATTATGTGATTAGATTATATAATTAAATTATGAGTAGGATTTAGTGAAAAGAAGTAAGATGAGGAGTGGTGAAGGGTGGTAGGAGGGAATGGAAGAGAGGGACTAAGAAGGAAGGGATAAGGAAGGGGTGGTGAGGGAGAAGGAGAAGAGGGGAGAAGAATGGAAAAGAGAGGAAGGGAGAAAAGTGGTAAGGGTGAAAGAGAGAGGAAGAGAGAAAGGTGATAAGGGGGGAAAAGAAAATGGGAGGTAATGATTATTTTTATTATATAAAGATTATGTGTTGATTAATTAATTACTGATCAATAAATGTTAATGAATTAGTAATAATGAGGTAATTTGATTAATCAATCAATTGATATAAATAAGTTCACTATTGACTGACTGACTGACTGATCGACCACTCTGTCTTTGATTCCTTTCACATATCATACCATATGTCTCAACGTATCGCAACACTCGCAATGATATATCAGTTCGGCATCGCCTATCTATGCGATTCATCACGCATCCATCCATTCCCATTTGCTCGCATCGCTATATGCTTTCAGTTCTTCCGGTCTTCTTCCGCCTGTGTTTCAAGTTCACTTCCCTCCCTTGCAATCAACGTCAAATCCTTGCCTCTGGCAGTAGGATTATCTTGATACATCATTGCCCATAATCTCTCCGTTGCTCGCTGAGCTGGTGATCGATCTTTATTCGTACTTCCTGCTGATTGATACGAAATATCTGTGCTTTGACCAGTAGATCGCTCGTCACGGCTTGGTGATGTAGAAGTTGAAGACGATGAGTCGAGCGAGATAGGGTTATCAGGTGTGATGTAGGCGTATTTAATACTTCTCTTGCGATGATTATTTGAATATTCATGTTGTATTGGCTCCCCAAGGCCAGCAAGTGAAGCGGAATTGTAATTTGAACTACGAGTAGCATTTTCGTTCGAGCTTTGTCCTCTGTATTTGTAATCGTTCGCAAAGACTTCTCTCGATAATCTGCTAGGTCCATGAATACCTCGAGCTCGACTAAAATTTTCGGCACGTGCGGCTGCAACTGGTAAAGGTGGCGCAATCTGGTTTGTATTCGAAGCTGCAGAGTATTCTTGGTTACTTGGAGGAAGCGGTGGCTCGGGAGGATTAAGTGTGCGGGGAATGGATGCGTATATTGCGTCTGAATCGCGGCTTGATGTCCATGGATAGTTGGCTGGTGTCCAGACAGTGTTTGACTTGTAGCTCGCGGCACCTGTTATCGGCAGTGTATGAGTAGTGTACCTACCGGGAACAGATAAGGGGAGTGTTCGAAAGTCGGGACCCCTTGCAGCGGTGTACCTATTATAGCCGGGAAGGTTTGGCTCCGAGTCATCGGAAACACGTGGGTTCGAGGGTACCATTTTGAGGGGTGAAGGATTATTTGTTTCGGTGGAAGTTGGAGGTGGCGTTGCGATTGGTGTAAGATATAAATGGGCTGAGATTAATGGTGGTGTTTATTAGGATTATTCCAAATTGAGGAACCCTAGAGACGAGGGTTCACATTGCGAGATGTCGTTGCGACATTCGTTATAGATCGAAGAATTGCGAGTTCGTGGAAGAGAAAGTTGAGGTGTTCGAGAGTAGTAAACTATATATAACAAGCTTAAGCCCTAGCGTCATAGCTACCCTCCTTTAGTAGCTACGTCCCCCTTTGGCGTGTCACGTGATTATTATCCCGACAAGTAACTGAAGAAGAAGCAACATCAAATCTTATTCAAGCCTACACGAGATAGTTTAGTGTTTGACTTGATATGTCGTAGTTGAAAACTTTCCGTTTTGGTGTTCTTGAGAAGAAGATTGGCGATAAAATTGATGAAGGTATATAAAGTGACTACCGTCTAAACTCGAGTAACTGAGAACAGATCTAGTTGTATTTGGTCTAGTTGTTGATTATACTAAACTAGATATAATCCAATTTTCATGGTTTAAACAAAAAAGTGGAACTATTAGAATCCACTTTGCTGATTCATTCAATTATATGATTTGTTTGGTCTTCTAGCTTGATCGACAGTTAGTCCAAATGCGGCTGGACTCGTTCTCAGTTACTCGAGCTTAGATGGTATTCACCTGACATTCTCCACACTTTTCGGTGAATTGTAGGCATAGAGCTGAAAGGAACGATTGGGTGATAAACGGCTCTCAGTGGATCAGCTATCTGGTTTCCTGTCGGGGAAAGCGATTGTCCTCTTCAAATATTGCATATTATTTTGTTTTCTAAGTTATATAGAGATATTCAATATATCATATCCTACAAACCATCAAAGAATGTGCTAGATTTTGTATATATAATCTAATATTATGAAGTTAAAGAGGGATAATCGCTCGTTACGGAATAACCGCTTTCTCTGGCTTTGAACCAGTGGGCTCACCAATCATCAAGAAGTTTTGTTCCGGAAGGTTTAATGCTGATGTGAATGGAAAATATATTCTTACTCACTTCCTTCCATTTAAGTTGTATTTTACCACACTCTGTTGCAGAAACTATGATCCAAGATCCAGAAATTTGAAACTTCAAAGCCAATTTTGCACTCTGAGCTAAGGTGGACTTTCCCCAAACTTTGATATTACTACCTTCCGATCACATTCACTCTATATATAAGATACACCGCACCTCAGATATGTTGCACGTCTATAGACCTAATCCTCCGACATTCCTCCATAATCCTCCATAATCCTCCGTTTTTCCTCCGCTATTCTCCCTTCCAAGCTTCAGTTACGGACAAATCACACATTGCGATTATATATGTTTGTCACAGCTATCTTCAGTCTCGTAAGCTACACTGTTCTTCTTGACTTACACTATATACCTGAAGTGAATACATACTGGATTGTGATAAGCTAGAGACATGCGAGTAAATGAACGAATTGGAGTAAAGTTAGTAGCAGGCTGATGTTATGGAAGATGCTGTGGCAAGACGAGGCTCGGATATACAGATTTGTCGGTTTTAGTCACTTCATTTCCTTGTCTCCTATGTATTACCTCACCTCAACTAATCACTACATCCAATCATAGAAGGAAGCAATGGGAGACTCCTTCTGCTTCTTGCATCGAGCTTTGTTATTGCTTCCTCTTCTCCGTCTAATAGCCTCTGGTACTAGCTCAAATCTGGAAGTTATGTTGCACATCTGAAGTGGTTTCCAGACCCCTTGTTAGAAACCCATCTAAACATCACCCGAAAGATATTAAGGGCCTGTTTGGCTCTGTAGTGTATGCAAAAGTGTACCACCAAAATAATTTTTTATACTCTACTATATAAATGAAACATATTTGAAAAAGCTGTATTTGAAAAATATAAAAATTGAAGAATGTATATTTTCACTAACCTATCTATCTTAGTTCTCCAATATCATTTAATAATTTGATTTAATCTTACAATTATAATATTGCTATTATTGAAAAAAAGGAAAAAACATAATAAAAAGCTTCTGATAATGATTTCAGTATTATCTGTAATTGTAGTTGCTATTTATTATAAATATAACTTCTATAGGTGTTTACAATATATCTCTAAAATATCTGGTGCTCAATGGATGTACGAATTAGTCTTTGAACATCCTGAAAAAATCAAGAACAATTTAGGGATTTCTCAAATTGGGTTTCTATTGTTAAAAGATTAATTGATTAAAATAACGGGTATAACAAATACTTGATATATATCTACTATAGAACAATTTGGTATATTCCTTTATATAGTTGTTACTAATCTTTCGATATACCGGTTTGCAAAGCGATTTCAACAAAATATTTAAACTATTAATAAAACCTATCATAAAGTTATGAAATAATTTCTTTCTTTTATATTCTATCAATCTATTGTACAATCTCTTATTACCTCTATATCTCTACATTTCAAGATATTCCAAAATTCGAAGTATTTTCTATATTTCAAGGATTGCATTAAAACTATCGATGGAATTTATATTCCTATTTTTGTTATTAGAACAAGAAAAAGTCCTATATCGAAATAGAAAAGACACTTTGATTCAGAATATTCTTGTTGTTTATAACTTTGATATTTGATTTATGAATGTGCTATATAAATGGGAAAAAATATATATTTGATTCGATATTATAGCAAAAAAGCTTTCGAATGCAGTATTATCAAGATTCTGGATAGCAAATATCTATTAAAAGATATTGGATTTACAAATTGCAATTTATATTTGATATTATATAAAAGGGTTTGATATCATTTAAAGGAATAGACAAAAGATTAACGAGTATTACAAACAAAGGAAAAGCTTTTCAATTTACGATATACCGAATTATATAATATAATTGAATGGATATTTGGTATTATAAAAAGCAGGTTCTATATATTAGAAATTGTACAGAAATTCAAATTATTTGCTCAAATACAGATTATTATAGCTCTTTATGCTTTTTAAAATATATTAATTATTTTATAAAAGGTTGATATAGAAGAAAAATCAACTATA